GAAATATATAAATTGTTCCTATGTCTGTTTTATAATTTCTACCATGAAAACACAGTTGATATTTTAGTCAGTAGTTCAACTGTATTGTATTATAGGTATAATACATTCAAACTTAAGTAGTAACATTTTGTCTTATAAAATAAATTCACTGACACTAGATTCCTAATGAAAATACAGCAGTACATATTAGCAACAAACAGTGTCTTCAACCAGATCTATTAAAAACAGATTGAAGGGTAGCTGTGGTGGCACATGCTTGTAATCCTAACTACCTGGAAGAGTGAGCCAGAAGATTGCAAGTTAAAGGCCAGCCTCTGCAAATAATGAGATTCTGTTTTAAAATAAAATTTAAAAAATTATAAGGGTTAGGGATGGGTTCAGTGGCAAAGTGTCTCTGGGTTCAATCCTAGTGCCAAAAATAAATAAATAAATAAATAAAAGACTATCACAAAATTAAAAAAAAATAGATTGAAAAACAATTTGATGCCACTTTGGCTAAACCTCAAGAAATATTAAGCTACATTTAATAAGAATGTTATTTTTTAATATCAGTGCAAAGAATACTAGTACAAATTACTCTATAGTTAACTTTATTTGAAAAATAAATAAAAACCTTTTGGAATTAGGGGTACAAATATCTTATAATGTTATTTAAATCATATTTTGAAATAATTTTTTAAATCTTTACTAAAAAACCTCTAATTATTAATAAAATGGGGTATAATAAAAATGGGTAAATGTCTTAAAATTAATCAGGAAAAACTCAAATAGTTTTCCTATTCCTAACACCAAATTGAATATGAAATAAAGCAAATAATAAGTAATATTATGGAGTTTACTAGAGAATAAAGCAGAATGTAGTGAAATTTAACAATATTTAATTGCAGGGTGAAAGTGTTATTCTTAAAAATTAACTTAGGGTTAATTATCAGTAATTTTTACCTAAACTACTATAGGGTCTAAAGAACAAAAGAAATTAATTTTAGGACTAGTAAAATTTTTATCTGAGGTTTATAAAGAATCATAATTTATAAATTAAAGAATTATAATTTATAAATTAAAGTTTTATCTTCCAGAAAAAATTCTGTGATGGCAATGTTCTAACCTTGTAACATTTAATATTATTTTCTCTGCTTTGTCCATTGGATTTAAACATAGCATTTAAATAGCTGTTTTCATATATATTTTATTAAAGTGAACTAAGTAATAATACACTGCTTTTGATAAAAAATGTTTTAAGAGACTCTTAAAAATAAATGAATTTTAAACAAACAAACAAACAACGATTTTACAAAGAACAGACATGCCAAGACAAATAACTTACTTAAAAAAGAAGAACGGAGCTTTTTCACAGACTCAGAATATAAGCTAGAAACACCGCACATGCAAGAAGTCACAATCAGCATACCTTAATGAAGCAAGAAAAAAGGGAAGGGGGAAAAAAAAAGGAGACAGAGATACTAGAATGGCATGGTTTAAACAGCAATCTCTGCTGAAGATTTTACATGACAAAATGATTGCACTCAGAAATGTGGAATAAAAAAAAACAACAACACAAAACTTAAAAAGAGAAATTAACCATCAAGCTAAAATGATAGAAAGTCTATATCCCTCACCGATGCCCCTTTTTTATACACAGTAAAATTGGCAGTTTTAGCTGAATCATGTAATGAGAACAACTAAAAAAAAATCAGGGAGAGCTTTATTTATTATTTTATTTTTAAATTTTTATGTTGATGGAGATTAAGCCTAGGCAAGTGTTCTACCTGGAGTTATACCACTAGCTCAGGAAGAATTTGAATTCAGGATTGAGTTAGGAAGTAAAGACCAGAGTTTCTCAAATTGTACTCCAGTGCATAGAGGTATTCTGCAAATGAGTAAACATGCCTCATAAAGAATTCTTCTCAATCCCTGGTCTTGTAGACAGGCCTAGAATAATCTGAAGCCTACAGGCCAATTATTGCTGAAAGTCTCAATAGTATATCCTGTGTATCATATATTGAATGCCATTTACTGTGTGTTATGAAGTTAAAAAAGGCTGAGGTACTGAATATTTAACTATACATATGTTCTATGAGATGTTAGTGTCAAAAATCTACAAAGCACAAAAGAATGCTATAAATAATTCTAAACAAATCTGGACTTGTACTAAATCAAGATTATTTGAGAATTTTCTGTTTTTTAGAATTCAAATCACTTTTAAATCCATCTATTTTTTTTCACATGAAAAGGATTCCTTTCAATTAAATAAGTAAAACAATAAATTACTACTCAGAGACCAAACAACAAAAGGGACAAAATTTCAAAATTAATTTTTTTCTACAATAAAGAGACAGATATTTCTGTTATTATAATCTAGCGGAAGAAGTGGGGAATTCTTTTGCAACATTAAATAAAATAAATAAAAAATTAAATCCTAGCACATTAAAAGCAAAAGCAAAACCTAATGACAATACAAAACCAAAGTAGCACTGATGCCTTTCGTCTTTTTATACAGATAATCTAAATCAGATAAACTACATACCTCAGAGAAGTGGTTCTATTTACAAAAGTAAGCCAACATTTATACAAATCCTAAAGCTAGGACTTTTTTCTTTTCTTTTTACCTCCTGAAGGTTGTCGAGATTTACGAGGAGATCGAGGTTCTCTCCGATAAGGATCATTAGAGCCATATAATTCTATGGTGCCCAGATTGAGCAGTACTGCTTTCTGGAGGTAGTCAATCATAGCAATGCCATTACAGTTGCCAAAAACCACCCTGGAAATAGAAAAAGAGTAAACATTTTAGCACAAAAAAATTACTTACAATAAAACGTACTGTCGTCTATTAGGTTGAAGAAGGAAGAATAATGGGTCTTTCAGAAAATTCTTCTTTGAAACAAAAGAAAGCTGTGGGTATAGAAATACAGGTTACATGTGCCTTCTCTTGAAATTGTTCATATCTTCTGTAGACATTCATCATCCAATATCATTAGATCAATTATCAATATCATTTATGAAAAATATTTGGCACAAGAGTTGAAATTTATTCAGAGATACAAACTTCCCATATGAGGCAATGTTAACACCTATTTTTTTTTTTGCCTTGAGAGTATTCTGAAGCCCTTGGAGGAGACATCTCCTTCTCCTAGGAAAGCAGGGGACTTCACAGTGGGTAAAAAGTTTTGGTAATTCTCTGTAGTCAAGAATAAAAAACAGATAGCATTAAGTCTTAGAAGACTCCCTCTCAAGGTGTTCAAAATGCTTTCTCAATTATGTCAATAACTACAAACCAATCAACTATGAATAAAGGATCATTATTTTTTTAAAGATATCTTAAGTCAGAAGTTGAAAGCTGTCACGTATAGAAGAGTTACATAAGTACCATAAGAGGATGGGTAAATCCATGGTGACTGATGACTATATGATGCACCTAAAGAAGAAAAACTCCAACTTGAGTCAATTGACTAATGTTGTGCTTGAGTGTACACAGTGGTCAGATAATTAGACTTCTCAGTTGAAGTTTTAAATATGGATTTATAAATTATACAGGCTTGGCAACTAATTCAAAATTTAAAAATACACAGAAAGTGCCAAACAAAACATAACTATTAGTGCAGGGAGATGTGTAATCAATCGATTTGCAACTTCCTTTGAAACTTTCTTTTTTTATTCCTTATTTTTTCACTCTTTGGTTGTGGGCAATAAAGATTTAAAAGAAGGAGGTTTGTGCTCTTACATTTATGGCAAGAAATACAAGATACCACAGAATACTATCTCAAACTATAGCCAATTTAGTTAAATGTACAATTATAAGAAATAGAAAAGATGGTGGTGGCTACTATGATCAAAAAGGATGAATAAGTCCCTAGGGTAACACATAGGAAAAAGACAGTAACCTGTATGTGATAAACAGTTCTGGGACTGAATAGTTAGTTACAAGTTTCTTATACTACAGTGTTTTGAAACAAATGAAAAATAACATATGCTTTATAAACCTATCATATTGTAATAAAAAATACATATAATAATTCACACTAATTAATACTTGAAAGCATGAATTGGTAAATAAAACAAACACATGCGTAGTATAGATGAACAATTTACTAAGCTATTCCAATGCCTTTCGAATTTATGAAACTTAATTTTGGAAGTAGAAAGAGCAAATGACATAGCTATGGTTAATATTTGTAAAATCAGTTTATAACTTAATTTTGTCAGTTCATAAAATTATTATTTTTAGGAGCATATATAGGAGATGATTTATTGACCTTAAAGCTGTATCTCAAATAATTCATTGGTCCATGAGATATTTACTTTACATAAGAAGCAGAGTATATATACCCAGGGTAAATTATCCAGAACAAAATTATGCTCCAAATAAACATTGAGCTTAGTTTGAAATTAAAGTTATATAACAACATTTTAAATGACAATAAAACAAAGATAGCCCTTTCTATTTTTAAAAATAAAATGGTGTATGGAATACTATGGAAAGACTGAGAAAAGCATATCTTATACTTACAGTCCATAGGAAGAATTGACTGCCAGGCTGGTTATTTGTTGTGGTGGTTCTCCACCCACCCATACCAACTGAATAACTAGTTCTGTCTGATAACCTGGTGATTGTTTAAGTGGTGAGTTTTTAACTCTGGAAGAAAAGGGAAAACATATTATCTTTTAAGCACATTTTCAATTAACTTACTACCCTATATAATTCTAAAGCCATATATAAATAGTCATACAAAAACAACTACATATGAAACTATACTAATTTTTAAATGTAAAAATGAGAGTCCTGTCCTCTAGAAGCATTTAATCCAGTTGGAGAGACTAAACATGTACATAAATAACAACAATTAGAAATTATATGTAAACTCCACACATAAAGTTAGGGAGGACGGCAGGGATCAAAGCGAAAGAGAGAAAAGGAGGGGGAGGCAGGAAAGAGAGGGAGGGAGAGAAGAGTTTCAGGGAAGGGTGGGGACATGGATGAGGAGAAGCAGCAATGCAGAACTTAATAGGGAAAAACTACAAATTCAAAAGGCCGACTTAAAACTTAAATGTTTTCCCTAAATGAAAACTGGCAAAAACATATAAGAACAAGTTAAAAGCAAATGTGATCTATTTATTTGTGTGAATATTTTTACTACAAAAAAAAAACAAACCCAAATTCTTTGACTGTGAAGTGATAGTACTTTCTGATTGCACAGACTTTGCTGATTAGTGCTAATATTACTCTTGCAAAGCATATGCCTACAAGATAAAGAACCACAAAACTCATATTTAAAGATTAATAAGTGTAAATTTGGTTACACTGGTAGATGTGTGCAGTAATTTAGAAAACAGTACTGTAAGAGACATAAGGGTTAGACTTCAGAGGCTTGTAAGTGGTAAAGGTTTGATGTTGTTGAAAAGTTTTGAGTCCTGGCTCTTAAACTTATCAGCTGCTTCTCATCTAGAAAGTGCAAAGAGTACTACATAATCATGGTCTAAAGAAACTGAGTGCTTATAAAAGCATTTTGTAGAAGGTTAAATCACATAAAGTATTTTCATTACTAAAAAGTTAAAAGCCAATGTTAGCTTATAAAAATATTTCAGGAAGATTAAACTGTTAGATATATGCACGGTGGAGTGGAACAGGGATATTAATTAGGAAACTGATTTTTCTGATGTGAAACAATTCTAAAAAAGATAGCCGAAATACACTTTTAAATAAGAACAAGGTTTTTAAGTTTCAGGAAGACAGAAAACTTGCAGCTATTTTTAATACTCTGGTACAAAGGAAGTATTTAATATTTACTGAACACATGAATGAACTGAAGACTTATTAGAAGTAGGGCAAAAGAGGAAAAGAAATCAATGATTCTATGATCAAATATAAATAAATACAGATATCAAGATGAAGAGGTAGTTTTAGGGTACTATGGAGTTTTAAGTTTGAGGTGAAGGTAGGAACCTACAAGTGAAACATTCAGCAGGCCACTAAATGTATTCCCAAATCTCACCAATAATAAGTTCATGTTAAACTTATGTTGGTCAAACTTTTGTGATAAGCATCTGAAGAAAAGGTTGTTAAGAACATGAGACTTTTTGAGGACTAAATATTTTGACACAACACCTGTCATACCCGTATCAGCAAACTTCAGGTGGAATTGAAAAACATACTTTGAAACCTCATCTTCTGATGACGTTTATTAGTTTAGGTAGGCTGTCCAGACTTCAGGGAAAATGTGTATTGTTGATGCTACTCTAAGATGAATTGAGCTCCAGTCACTTTTTGTTGTGCAAGGTTTGTTAGCAATGCAGTCAGAACTATACTCTGGTTTATATGGAATTTCTAATTCTTTTCAGAGAAATACCCACTGATTAGCTACAGCTGTTGCTCTTAAGTGAGAAGTAATAACTGAGGCATTTCCTTTCTACTCAGAGACAGCTTTGATATAGCCACAGAAGCAGAGTTGAAGTGGGCTGTTTTTTCCTTAAATGAACTAGAATAGAAGATAAACTTGAAAAGTGCTTCCATTCCAGCAGATAAACTGCACATGTCAGATTAGGTTCTCATTAGCAGAAACAGGCCTTCTAGGATTAATTTTTGAAATGCATGTAAAGGCACATTTAAGACTTTTAAGTGATCAGGACACATAACTCACAGAATTTTCATTTTAGTTAAGAGAAACAAAAAGTTCTTTAAAAAAAAAAAGAATTCAAAACTAATGCAAAATCCTCCCCCCTATTAGAAATGTCATAATATATTTTTAAAATAGAAAATTTATTGTTATATTTGATGTCTACAATGGTGCACAGGCGAGTTACCATTTTAACATTATTAGTATATTTGTTTACTTGTAAAAGACAAACTGTTGAATCTTTATTAAAAAATCCTCTATCATTTGTACAAATATATTTTAAATGTTAAAATGGTGTTGAGATCTCACAGTTTCAAAATGCTCTTTGTAAAATGACACATAAAATACCTAAATGAAAACATAAAATACCTAAATACAAACTAAATGTTATTGGCAAAAGTAACAAATGACGACTTTTAAAATGTTGAAGAACAAAACCATGTCATTTGCAGGAAAATGGATGGAACTGGAGATCACAATGCTAACTGAAATAAGCCAGACTCAAGGCAATTTTTTTTATTCTTCCCCTCATATTTGGAATCTAAAGGAAAAAATAGATAACATCAATGTATCAGGGAAGCTAGTATAACCAGAAAGGTGATCAGAGGGAGGAGACGGCAATGAGAGGTAAATATGATCAAAGAATGTTATTTGCATTTATGAAAACAATGTAACAAAAACCATTATTCAGTATGATTAAGAATATACTAATAAAAATGTTTCCTAAAAACTACCAATTGTGTATAAAGGCATTTTATATAAGATCTCAGTATTATATTATATATATATATATAATATAATACTGTATATATATATTTGTGAGAGGGTACTGGGATTGAACTTAGGGGCACTCAACCACTCTAGCCCAATTTTGTATTTTATTTAGAAATAGGGTCTCACTAAGTTGCTTAGTACATTGCTGTTGTTGAGGCTGGCTTTGAACTCGAGATCCTCTTGCCTTAGCCTCCGGAGCTGGTGGGATTACAGATACGTGCCATTGTACCTGGCAATATTTTAACAACAATTTTTGTTATATTTCTAACTTCTGGAAATATAACAAACAAGTGCTGAGGTGGTGTTGTGAAGACTCAGACACAAACTTGAAAGAAACTCTCTCCAGCCAGCTGTGACGAAGTCACAGGAAGTTAACCAAATTCAGTAAGTTAAAACGAACTGTCCATAAAAAAGCACTAAGAGTCCATAATCATATTCAAAAGGAGAATCCAGAATGCCTCTAGGACTGCAGATTAAAACGATATAAAGTTAATGAATACCTGAATTATTATCCAGACTGGGAAATAATTTTAAAAAAATACATAGAGTTATGCAGTCCAAATGTTTATGATGTTCCCATACATTCTTACTCTGAAGTTCTAGTGAAAATTCAAAATAAGGGACTTAAACAACCTAACTGTACAAGCACAGTCATTACTTTATGATGTGCTTCATTTTGATGTATTTAAATTGCTGTTTTAAAAATTCAGGTTATTAGAATATTAAGTATAATAATTAAAATTGATGGCTTGATATATAAATAAATAACATCATATATTAAATCAATAAGAATTTTTACTCATTTAACTACCAAAAAAATCAGACGTAGAAAGCTTAGATACAAACACACACGGAGTCAAATCAGTAGCAATGCTTCTCTACATCTGCTAGCATTTTTTTCTTGAGTGTCAGTGGGACTCCTAGATTCCTCTCTACCCAGTCTTTAACTCTACCCTTGGCGAGGTGGAATGCATTATGAATCTGTAAAATAAGAAAAAAAATTAATGAGGCCCACTTTTTTCACTCTTGCACCTTGTCCACTTGGGAGCAAGTCTGCCCAGGGGCTGCATTTTTTCCTGTTGATTCTACAAAGGCAGTGTGTGTGTAAGGCTGCAGTGACTGGCAAGACAAGGCTTCATCAATAATTAAGGTGATATTTTTAGTCACCACCTGAAAATATTTTATTTTTTAATGTGCTAAAGAATATGGATTAGGAAAGAATAATATTATTGTAAGACTCCTATAAGGAAATATGAATAATTATATTTTGACTGTCTTATATCTATTTTTAAAGTTTAAACTAGTTGCTTGACATTCCATTCATCTCAAGATACTCTTATCTAATATCAAATGCTGCTTCCAAAAAGAACTCTTAATTAAAACATTAATAGTCTCAAAAATATAAACAAACTTATATAATTGAACTACATACAATGTACAATAACTGCAATAGAAGAAAAAATTATCACAAGGACTAAAACCTACGTAATTAGACTACATATCATTTGAGAAATGTGCTTGAAGGTCTAAGAGAAAAACATAATACTATATTTTACTATTTGTGTAGTAGTTTTATCAATTGGTAATTTCAACGTTCATTTTGAACTTATTTTTGTAAATAAGTAAAATAAAGAAATAATTTCAGGTTAATCAATTTTAGAAAAGTGACTTGGGGACAAAGTTAAAAAGTCACTGGTTACATTACAGAGTAATGCAAACATCCAATGAAAACTATAAAGGCTTTACTTTTTTTTTTTTTAATTCTTTCTAGTTCTTGTCACTGAGTGGACATTATAATACACTGCTTGTTAAACATAATGGTGCACACATTTCTAGAAATCTTTTTTTGTTCTTTTATTCTATTCTGTACAAAAAGGATCCAGGGCTTCCTAAAGATGATCACATGTGTGAGCGCAGAAAGATGTTGAGAAATGCCTAGATTATCTATATTTTTGACAGAAATCACAGATAGTCACATAAGTGCTGAGGTGGTGTGAAGACTCAGACACAAACTTGAAAGAAGCTTTCTCTAGCCAGCTGTGACGAAGTCACAGGGAGTTAACAAAATTCAGTAAGTTAAAACAACCTGTCCATAAAAAAGCACTAAGAGTCCATAATCATATTCAAAGGAGAATCCAATTCAAATTATAGTCACATTAATTTTTTAGGATTAAGAAAAATGTTTTTATATAATTGTGTGTATATTCATTCCCAGGACAGACAAAGTATATCCATATATAAAAGTTAACAGTTAATGCAAATAACAAAAAAAGATTCTTTTCTCCTCCCAAATATTAATGGATTGGCAAATGAGACTTTGTGACTATCAAGTCAAGGCTTCCTTGAAATAACCAGCTTAAAGGCATTCCTACATTAAGTGATACTCTACTAAATCATTACAGAAAGTTAATAGTTTGTGCAACACTTTTCATCACAGCTATGAAATGTCCTCTCAAAAAATAAAGAGGGTCATACCACAGTTTTAGGTCCATGAACAGTAAAAGAAACCCATTAATTCCAGAACTAAGTTGATTATAATCTTTGCATTGATTTGGATACTGCAGATTTGGTTTGTGGGCTAGTGATTATAATAGTTGCTCTTGGTTGCTACTTTAACTGCTAACTGTTCTCCTTGTTGTTTAAGTCAGTTATAAAAAACTGGAAAAATACAAGAACATAAGATAAAGATTCACCCACTGCTTTTTAACTTTTATTAGGATGCCAAGGTAAGGGATCTTGTAACTCTGATCTAATAGTACTGCTTGTCTTGTCAGTCCTATTTCCTCTGACCTATCTCATCATGGAGAAACAATGCATTGATGGTACTCATTCTGCAGAATGGAAAATGATTTGGTGTGTTCAGGCTGCTGGACCTGTAGCTACAAGCTTACAGACATTTGGAGGTTATAGTCGTTTGGATCTTAAATGTCCCCCTAAATATGCTGAAGTCTTATTCCTCAGCTTATGGTGCTATCAGAACATGGGAAACTTTAGGAAGTGTGGGTCTAGCTGAACAAAGTTGAGGTGTGCCTCTGAAGGGCATATCTGGACCATAGACTCTTTCCTCTCAATCTCTTTTTTTGCTTCCTGGCCACCATTCGGTGAGCAACTTTTTTCTATCTTATGTTCCTGCCATGATGTTCTGCCTCACCAGAGGTCCAAAGTTATAGGACCAAGCAACTATAGACTGAAATCAAGAGTCAAAATAAATCTTTCCTTCTTTTAAGTTGATTATCTCACATTTTGTCATAGTGATGGACAGCAGACTTAAACAGAGACATAAGAAAATATAAAGTACAAATTTTAGTATTCTAATTTTGCAGATAATGCACACTTATATGGAACTGTTATGTTAAATCGTTGGTTCTGTAGTTAGTAAAACTGCTAAGGAAATACAGAAATATGTCACAAAATACTCAAAATGCAAGTAGAAATTTATATGCTTATAAAAATTACATTTAGCAAAGAATTGGAGAAAAACATCAATATTAAAAGAAGGGGCATTAATGGAATTTATACAAATTTAAGTTTAAATCAATAGTGGTTACATAACAAAAGGGGAAAATGTAGAATTGTGTATTCCAAGTCTCACACTAGCTAAACGTACACTAAACTGTAGCTAAAAGGAGTCTGAGCCTATGTACCAGAGAGAAGGAAGAGAAAATTAGGAGGAGGAGGAGGAGGAGGACAAAGAGGAGGAGGAGAAGGAAAAGGAGGAGAAGGAAAAGGAGGAGAAGGAGGAGGAGGAGAAGGAAAAGGAGGAGAAGGAGGAGGAGAAGAAGGAAAAGGAGGAGAAGGAGGAGGAGGAGGAGGAGGAGGAGGAGGAGAAGCAAAACACAGGAAAAGTCATTCTCTTGCCATTTGACTCTACCACAGGAAAATGTTACTGCAGTTCTAATGCTTACAATTTATCTAAATTAAAAGAACATACAAAACAATTCTACAATTGCTTTTATAACTTACTTTAAACAAGGTACATTATCACGAAGTCCATCAGATGAACTGCTGCTGGTAGATGGATGAGACTGTGGAGGAATGGGCTGAGGATTGGAACCTCCTACAGGGGTTGACAAAGGTGGTGGCTGCTCACCTTCTGGAGATTCCGCATCATTTATCTCATAAAACAACCGAACTTCAAGCATCTGTTGTAAAAGAAAGGCAGTTTACCTACTCTTAATAACTGATATTCATTTTATTATAATTTGCACAACCACACCTAAAATTGAGTGGAAAGAATACTTTTAAAGGCAGAAGTTTAGCAGGATGTCCAAAGATAAAGGAAAAGATTTATGATTCAGTTTTTTTTAAATGTGTATATGTGGGGAGCACACACAAAAACACATGTTATGATTTTAGAATTTATGACAACTCTGTTAATATCAAATTAGAGTACATCATATTAATAATAGCTTTCCTTAAATAAAACATACAATGTACTTAAGGATTTATGTATTCAGTTAAAAGATACACAAAGAAAATGGTATTTTTCACAGAGATGACAATGCAAACACTGAGGTGTTTTCACAGGTTCTTTACAAGCCTGCACAGAGTCTTCTAAATCATTCACAACTTTAAAAATACTGGACACCTGACACTGAAAATAATTAATAAACTATTACCGGAATAACTTCTGTAATCACTTCCTGTTTGCTGAATCTATAAATAATGACATGAGCTGAAACTCCAGCTATGCACAGCATTCTACTTTCTGGGCACCAGGAGATGATCTGAATGGCATATGGATCTTCATCTACAATGTCTGTATTTGGTCTGTCATCTTTATTTCTTGACTTTTCAAATACTTTAGATGTTTTTAGTTTATATAATACTTGTAGAGTTACTAGAAAAAAGGTAATACACAGTCATTGTAACACAAAATAATCAAATATAACATTTAATTAATCATATTATGTAAGGAAAATAGCTTGTACTTGCCACCTCATACTTTTCATTTTTCAATCTACATTATAGTAGTCTATCATACATTTAGACACTGTACATATTTGCTCACTGAATGAAAAAAGCCGTACTCATGGTATTCATTAAAAAAAATAAATCCAGCTGGGGTGGTGGCTTAGTGGTAGAGCACCTGCTTAGCAGATGGAGGCAATGGGTTTGATCCTTAGCACCAAATAAAAATAAATAAATTAAAGGTATCGTGTCCACTTACAAATAAATATATCAATCAATCAATTAATCTACCATCATAGGGATTTAGTTAACCTGAGAAAAATGAGTGACAAAGATATTTTGGGAGAAATGTACAAACACAAAGAAAATAACATAGAACATATACTGCTTCCTAAAATGGTTTTTTTATATAGCTATATATTTTCTATAGAGAAGGTACCAGTATTATTAGGCACTCATACATAATGAAATATGAGAAACTCTGCATTAACTGGATTCCCATGAATGTTTGCCATGTATATTTTGCAAACATTAATCATTAAAGGCATTTTTTCCTTTTTTTCTACTTTGCCACCATTAGATAT